GACTGGATCTGTGGTGCATGAACCACAGGCATGAACAGTCCAGATCTAAATAAACCCTGTCGGAGGGTAAACTAGTGGAGCCTGGGCAGGAAAGAGGAATATTTAAAAGGAATAGCTATGTTTCAAGAACTTGACCCAATAATTACATTTCAGGAATGCTCCCAAAGAAGAGAGATGATCATGAAGATTCTCACGACTTCAACAGAATACAGAAGATGCAATCCTATTTATCCTATTTCTACCGAAAAGCCATCCCCACTGGGTTACAAATCATACCAATTGTCATAACACAGACAATTGTTACAACATAAACATCCACTTGGCAAATGTCAAAAGTGATTTTTTTTTTCTGGTTGAACCCCAGGGCATGGAAAATGCAGGATCTTAGTTCCCCAGGGATAGAACTTGTGCTCCCTGCAATGGAAGCTTAGAGTCCTAACCACTGGACTGTCACGGAATCCCCAAAAGTGGTATTTTTAAATGAAACAATACTATTTTTACTGCAAAGCATAATAAAAGTCATTGATTTAGTTAGACCCCAAATGAATCCAAATTTGGATTAAATTATCCTAAGCAGTAAAAACTGCCCATGTCACCAACTAGTTTGTCGTTTTACAAAAGCAGTTTTAAAAAGATTTTGAATACCTACTCAGAACAACCAATGTTATTGAATGTTAGCTTGGTGATTTAACCTGCTTTTACAATCTGCCCCAGGTTTTTATTACTTGTGTGTGTGTGTGTGTGTGCGCGCGCAGCCTGTGGCTCTTAGTTCCCTGACCAGGGACTGAACCCAGGACGTTGGCAAGGGAAACTCAGAGTCCTAACCATTGGACCACCAGGTAATTCCTTGTGCCCTTTTAAATGCCCAGCATCTGAAGCATTGTTTTACATGATGACTTTTTCACTAGAAAAGGAATAGAGACTACTCAGGGATCCCAGACTCGGAAGTGGAAGCAAGGATACGAAGCCCTGGGTCATCTGTATGCAGGTCAGGAAGCAACAGTGAGAACTGGACATGGAACAACAGACTGGTTCCAAATAGGAAAAGGAGTACATCAAGGCTGTATATTGTCACCCTGCTTATTTAACTTATATGCAGAGTACATCATGAGAAAC